TCCAGATCCATCTATAAGTTCATCTGTCTATCAGACTAACCATTTTTCTATCTATCTATCTGTCTATCTGATTTTTTTGTCCATCATGTCTGTTTATCTATTTGTCCGTCTGCTATTCTGCCTTTCTGACAATATCTCTATGTTTATCTGACTATATGTCTATCTAACTATATGTCTATCTGACTATATGTTTTTCTGACTATATGTCTATCTGACTATATCTCTATCTAACTATATGTCTATCTGAAGATATGTTTTTCTGACTATATGTCTATCTGATTATATGTCTATCTGATTATATGTCTATCTAACTATGTGTTTATCTGACTATATGTTTTTCTGAATATATAAGTCTATCATACTTTATTTCTATCGGACTTTATGTCTATCTGTCTATCTGAGTATCTGTATATTTATAAATCTGTCTATGTGTGTATCCCAATTCTCTGTCTATCTGTATATTTTTATATCCAGCTAAGTGTATGTATATCCAGCTAAGTGTATGTATATCTGTTTAATAAGGGAAGAGTGAGGGGTGTTGACAAGTTTATCACGGTTATATGTATAAAGTATGCAGGATGATTAAAAAATTAAAAGGGGGGAGGGGAAGAAACCCCAACTTTTAATATATATATATATANTGTAAATATGTAAGTATTGTAAACATGTAAGTATTGTAAATATGTAAGTATTGTAAATATGTAAGTATTGTAAACATGTAAGTATTGTAATTATGTAAGTATTGTAAATGTATAATATTTATTATTCTCTCGTGAATTAATTATGCTAAACCTGTCCGTATATCTGTCCACACCTTGCAAGTTGCAGGGTTTCATTCATGCTCATTCCCTTCACAGGGTTTCATTCCTGCTCATCCTCTGTACAGGGTTTCATTCCTACTCATCTTCTTTACAGGGTTTCACTCATGGCCATCTTCTGTACAAAATATCATTCCTGCTCATTCAGTTTACAGGGTATTTAATCCTGCTCCTTCTCTTTACAGGGTTTCATTCCTGCTCATCCTCGATTTACAGGGTTTCATTTCTAATCATCCAAAGGATTTCATTCCTGCTTATATTTTTTTGCAGAGTTACATTACCGCTCATCTTCTTTACAGGGTTATCATTCCTACTCATCTTCTTCACAGTGTTTTATTCCTGATCATTCCCTATACAGAGTTTCATTCCTGCTCATCCTCTTTACAGGGTTTCATTCTTGCTTATCCTCTTTACAGGGTTTCATATTTTTGTTCATTCTCTTTACTGGGTTTCATTCTTTTCATCCTCTTTACTGGGTTTCATTCTTGTTCATCCTCTTTACATGATTTCATTTTTGTTCATCCTCTTTACAGGGTTTCATTCTTGCTTATCCTCTTTACAGGGTTTCATTCCTGGTCATCCTCTTTATAGGGTTCCATTCCCGCTCATCTATGCTCATTCTTTCTCCAGGGTTTCTTTTCTACACATATACTGTAGAGGGTTTCGTCCATGCTATTATTTTTCTTTTTTAAAATTTTAATTCACATTTTTTATTTTTCTTCTCTGGGGTATATTTTTGCTTATGTTAAGAGCCTGAAAATTAATTCATTAAAAACCGCTGTTGATCTATTTCTGAGAGAAATATTCCATATTCATCCTATAGCGCCTCAAACTATTCATGAATGACATAAAATCTAACGTATTAAATGGTCGATATGATTATAGGGGGGGAGGTTGTCACATGTCCACCCCCTTATTTTCCAAAATATTTTTGAGAAAACAGAAAAGAGGGAAGTAGAGAAAATGAGAAAAAACTTAATAAAATGTGAAAAGATGTTTTTTTTCTTCGAATTTTAAGATTTTTTTCACAGCTTAAAAGACTTCAGACGAAATTTCAAAGTGACTCTCTATTTGTAGATTGTCATGTCCAATTCTAACAGATACTCTTAAAAGCTTTCCAATTGTGGCTTCTCTGCAAAGTGACTAGCACATTTCTGCTTCAGAAACACCAGAGGAAATTGTCAGAATAAAACAATTTTCGATTTGAAAAACAATAATATCTTTTTACATTTTTTTGTATGAGCTTTGTAAATTTTCAATTTTATTTTTATTTAGTTTCCCTGTATGCATTCAAGTGTATGGAATAGATAAAATTATCCCTTGTAATTTTCAATTCGTTTGTTTATTGTTCGTTATAGAACCATTTAGTTCGTTTTTCAGTCATCCATAAAATATTTTAATTTGTTTTTTTTTCAGAATTTTTGGTTCATTTTCCATTTTTTTCGTTTCTTTTCTAACTGAACGATCTGAAACGGTCGTTCAGTAAAAACTATCGTTTTATTTTTAAAAGTTCGATTGAAAAAATCGCTGGTCTTGTAAGAAATACTTTCGTTTTCAAAGTTAGTTCAAACAAAAATGGTTCATTAAGTAAAAAAGCTCTTGTTATTTTAGAGATTTCGTTCGTTAAATGTCTGACTGATCCAGAAAATGCGAACGATTATAAACGATTTTAACTCGCTCGTTTTTAAACACTATGGTTTTTTTTTATTTTCTCTGAACGATCTATAAATCGTTCGTTGATCGTTTCTTAATTTTTCTAACGAAAATTTCATCCATTTCTACTTGAATGACATCATAAGGTTTTTTTGAACGATTCTTCAATCCCAAACATTAAAACTACGGGTGTTTGACACACTTGGTAATTTGATTTGCAAAATTAAACTGAGATTACTAACATTAGTCTTTATTTCTAAACTTTCTAAATTGTACATCTATTTTTTTTTAATTGACAATAACATTTTAAAAATGTATGGATTTGGACTTGTTGCAGACTTGTGTGCAGTGTATATAGAATGCAGCTTGTTGTTTGTCTGAAATGTTTATCTTTCATCTTCTATAAATATTGGCACGTGGTGTAGAACAGGTTGGATATCCGCAAAAAACTCTCGTTTTCAAAACGCGGGAAATCAGATCTGTGATTTTGCGCATTTTTACTTTTCTTTCAGGCGTGCAAAGTGGGAAAACAACGTTTATTAGGCGCACCCTGCCACCCACACTCACGTGCACACTGGGTATCGGGCGCTCAGTTGGCAAACAACCGTTGCAGGGCTAACATCGTACTTGTAACATTGTGAAACTGGAAAACTTTTTAGTTAAATTCATTATAAATCACGTTTTGATCTAAAAGATATATTTTTTCGTCAATTTTATTAAAATGATTTATTAAAAACATATTTCATAGAATTTTTACTTTACTGTTTTATTTTAATATTTAAAAGGCCTTTATACAATATGTTCGGTCATCTTTTAAGATTTTTTTGCATGCATATATTGGAGGACAGGCTTTTAATGCCAAATAAATGGATTAAAACCCGTGACTCCATGTGAAAACAAGAACTTGGATAAAATCTGATGGTTTAGTCCAGTTTCAGTTTCAGTTTAAGTTAAATATAGGGTGTCCCATGAAACATGACAGTAGAAAGATGACTTGAAAGTTGTCTTTGATCATGGAATTCATTTGTGACAAACAGTCGTCAACCTTCTTTAACATGTATGATTCTTGAATAAATAACTGCAAAATTCTCCTAATCCTGGCATTTCCAAAATGTGGTCCGCCTTTTGTACTGTCAAAATTACCAGAGATATTAAGAATTTATTCAGATTTCAATAAAACCAATACTGTCGAAATCTGAACGAAATTCTTCATTTCTCCAGTAATATTGAACGTAAAAAAAGGCAGACCACATTTTGGAATGTCAGGACTAGGGGTATTACTATACTCTAGAATTTTACTTCTAAAATTAGGTTTACAAATAAAAATAGCGATTTATAAAAAATCAAACATAACGTTCAAGTTGTCTTGCTACGGTCATGTTTCGTGGGACACATTCGTTGGTCAAATAAAACTCCAATTTAATGAAGATCTCTCGAGATACTGTTTATTTTTATTTAAATTCTGCATTTTTCTTTCAACTTATTTTTCTTCTAATTCTTAAAGGCCACCTACAGACGCGCTATGAAGGTACAATGTACATGATTAAAAGTGCTCTGAGATCGATGTCATTTAGTGTTCTTTATGATAAAAAATATTTTAAACACAAAAACATGTTAATTGTTAAGAAACAGTTTTATTCATAATTATTATTGTTCATTAATAATAGGTCCTCGAAGATTCAGCAAATTTTAAAGTCTATCTAATTTCATTTTTTAACATATTTCTGCATTTAGATAAAAAAGCTTGAGACATATATTAGGGGTTCCATAAATTATTAATTTGTTCAGTTGCTTAATACAATATATATATAATATATATATTTAAAATATATTTGTTAAGAGAATATTAAAACACCGCCCAAGTTCCCTAAGTGGCAACAAGGCACTGCATGGGGTGAAGCCAATATATTGACTGCCTGAATATTCATGCCAATTCTAGGCCTAACAACTTCTTACAATTCATACACACCCTGACTCAAAACAAGCAAATTATTTTCAAATTGGTTTAAACTATTTTTATTAGAAATTTTCCATATAGTTCGCTTGATGAGATTTATGATTAAAATGAAAAAGAAGGCGCTAAGAATATTAATGTTATCTGGTTCCTACTAGACATATTCAAATTCATAAAAAAAAAATTTCCGAAATAATTTCAAGGATATTTTTAATGAGAAATAGAGATATAAAAGTGTTCTATGAATTTTTATAAAAGATAGTGAAATAAAGAAATACAAAATATTTGGTGCACAAAAAATAGAATAATACAGAAATACAGAAAGGATAAATTTTTATGAAAAATTCTAAAAATATTCATTAATTTTAGATATTATAGAAATGATGAATGAATGAATTGACGATAAAACTTGAATTTGCATTAACTATGCATTACTATGCTGAGCCGTCTTTTTTCCTATACAAGGACTTTAATGCCAATAAAAAGGAAAAGGAGGNGTTGGAGGGATCGTCATATAGTATAAAAAAGAAAAAAGTTTAGCAATCCTAAGAAATTGTAAAAATTCACTTTTCTATTTCAGATTCAGTTGTTTAATTGGATAAAAAGATAAATATAAAATTCCGAAAAATAAGTTCAGCATGGTTACGAGCTAATTTTATTAAAATAAGCTAAGTGACAATGTATAAATTGTACAACAAGTAAGTTAAACATAAACGTACAATACATTCAGTACATAAGATAACATTCTGAATGTGTGACTGTTGATCCTCACACGGCATGTAACAGATGATACCAATCTTAGAGTTGAAGATAGAAAGATAACCGTGATGAACTCGCTACTGCTCGTGTTGCTGTTCCTGTCCCATGGTCTCACCTTCAAATCCTCGAAATCTAAATGCCGGGTTGTTCCACTTGTTGCGCGCCGCAAGGAAAAATTGCAAACATTTATATTTGAAAATATTTTTTGACAAAAGCTGTTAGATCAACAAAACATAACAAAGATAACATTTTTTTGTAATACTGACCTACCGGAACAATTTAAAGTTGGAGAAAATGTTGTTCTAAATTTTGAACAGAATGATATAGGATACCCCACAGATGTTTATATCCTTACTAGCTGAGGGGTCCGGCGTTGCCCGTGGAAAAAATGGTGAAAAAATAGAAATATTTAAAAAAAAATTGGAACTTTTTTAGCCTATGTTACTCCCAGGCTACCCATGAGTGTCCACAACAAATTTCAGCCCATTCAGTCCAGCCGTTTGGCCGGCCAGAGGGAACATATATACGAATATCTTGTTTTATTATATAGATAGTATTTTGTTTCTAGTAAAATGTTTTTAATTTGGAAATGTTTTCGTCAAGTTCGATAAAAAGTTTTAGGGTTTCTGTAAAAAGTGCATATTTATTTAAATGTCGACACCACAGATTTTTAAATTATATTTGTTTAAAACTCCTTGCTCTTAAATAATTTGTACAAAGCTTAAATAACGCTTGTTACATATATTGAAAGGTCCTAAAATTGTGCTCAGTCGAATTTTCGTCTTTTAAAGGAAGTGTCTATTGGAAAATAGACGGACTGCAGTCTTTTCGAATCTAAAATGTATTCCTAAAGCCAGTATTGTCCCAAATATGATATTTTGAGACAAATGAACTATCACATATTGAAACTTCTATTTGTTCTGTGTTTTGCCCTTAGAGATTAATAAAGACTTAGAGATTAATATTTTGTAAGAAGTAAAATTTCCTAGATTTGTTAGAGAGTTATTGAAAATACAACTGCAGCTTGAGTGTTAAAAACAAATAAAAAATCAAAGTTTGTGTTTGGTTTAGATTGGTGCAGACACAATTCTCTCCGCATCGGTTCAATCCTTCTACCTTAACAACAAGGACGGTCCATTCTCCGGCAAACTCAAGGTTCGGAAGGTGTTCCAGGGCGGAGGGGCGGAGAAACAGGCGGAAGAGAGGCGGACGGGCGTGTCAAGTCGTGAGGATAATGATGGGGTTTTCCTGGAGGGGCGGAGCATAATCGTGGAAGGGTTGGGAGACCCGGATATATGTGTATCCACCCCTAGACTCGGGGATACTAAACTCTATGAATTGAATTGAATACAACAAATATGAAGATATGTGATCATCTGACCTCCTTCTGTGTTAATGATAACCTTTCCTCAGTAGATGCTGAATACATGCATGCATGCACTATACCTTTATACTCTACGTGCATGGATGAATAAATATGGATAGCAATAAATATAAATGAAACATCCTTGATTTATGTTTATAAATTCGAATAGCAATGAATAACACAAAATATCGATGAATATCGATGACAACCAATAAATATCGATGATAATCGATGAATATGGATGAAAATCAATGAATATCGATAAATATCAATGAATATCGATGAATATTATTCAATATAGATGAATTTTGATGAATTTAGATGAATATCGATAAATATAGATGAATATCGATGAATATCTTTCTATATCGATGAATATCGATGAATATCGATGAATATAGATGAATATCGATGAATATCGATGAATATCGATGAATTGGATATATGTGTATCCACCCCTAGACTCGGGGATACTAAACTCTTCTTCCTAGGTAGGATATATGTGTATCCACCCCTAGACTCGGGGATACTAAACTCTTCTTCCTAGGTAGGATATATGTGTATACACCCCTAGACTTGGGGATATTAAATTATTCTTGCTAGGTAGGATATATGTGTATCCGCCCCTAGACTCGGGGATACTAAACTCTTCTTCCTAAGTATTTTAGATTTTTTAATAATTTATTCAAAATATAGACTTGTATCTATATTCCTAGAAAGGAATTGAGTGTTTTCCACAAACTCTGATTTTCTAATCCCTATATCAGTGCTCGCCAATGTCGCAAACCCTAGGTATTACGTTAGAATTCTGTAAGAACAAATAATTACGTTTGGTTACACCATTTAGATAGCAAATATATACGGATTATAAAATTTGAGTTTGTGGCAGAGACTTAATTCCTTTTAACTACATTGATTCATATGTATGTATATCTTTGTATATGAATAAATCTTAATAATATAAAAATATTAAGTCATCGCTGATTACAAATGATGAAAACTCTTTTATTTTAGTAAATCTTTATTAGATCTGGTGGACCCTGCAGTTCCAAGATATAAACTTCATTCCAGTATTCTCCGTCTTAGTCTCAAGAATCTCAAGGTTCTTTGGAACCTAGAGAAGGGAGAAGGTAGGGTTTATTCTCCTAGTATAATTCTCCGTCTGTGTCTTAAAATTTTCAAGGTTATTTGTGTAAAATGTAGATTTTAATGTACTCCAAATCTATCAAACGAATTTCCCATAAAAAATGATCAATCCTTTTTTAAAAACTGTGTTTTTTTTAAGTTTACGATTGGAAGTGATAAAAATGTCGGTATTACTACTTAAAAGCCAATTGTGAACAAATACCCTAATGTACAAATGTACAGGTGTTGATTCTAAGTGTACTGCAGCCTGTCAGTTTGGTGGAGTATGTTTGAACGGTATCTGTACATGTCAGGACAAATGTACAGCCAAACCTTATCCTATCTGTGCTAACGACGGAAAAACGGTAAGTTTTAATTTTTCAAGATTTGTTTAGGAATTGGTTCATGAATTGGTTCATGAATTGGTTCATGAATTGGTTCATAAATTGGTTCATAAATTGGTTCATGAATTGGTTCATGAGTTGGTTCATGAATTGGTTCAGAAATTGGTTTAAAAATGGATTCATGAATTGGTTCATTAATTGGTTCATGAATTGGTTTATGAATTGGTTCATGAATTGATTAATGAATTGGTTCATGAATTGGTTCGGAAATTGGTTTAGAAATGAGTTCAAGAATTGCAGTTCATGAATTGGTTCATGAATTGGTTCATTAATTGGTTCATGAATTGGTTCAGAAATGGGTTCATAATTGGTTAATGAATTGGTTTATGATGTGGTTCATGAATTGGTTCATGAATTTGTTCATGAACTGGTTCATGAAATTGGTTCATGACTTGGTTCATGAATTGGTTCATGAATTGGTTCATAAATTGGTTTATGAATTGGTTCATGAACTGGTTCATGAATTGGTTCATGAATTGGTTCATAAATTGGTTCATGAGTTGGTTCATGAATTGGTTCATGAATTGGTTCATAAATTGGTTCATGAGTTGGTTCATTAATTGGTTCATGAATTGGTTCATGAATTGGTTCGGAAATTGGTTTAGAAATGAGTTCAAGAATTGCAGTTAATGAATTGGTCCATGAATTGGTTCATTAATTGGTTCATGAATTGGTTCAGAAATGGGTTCATAATTGGTTCATAAATTGGTTTATGAGTTGGTTCATGAATTGGTTCATGAATTGGTTCATGAATTGGTTCATAAATAGGTTCGGAAATTGGTTCATTAATTGGTTCATGAATTGGTTCAGAAATGGGTTCAGCGTTGGTTCAGGAATCGGTTCATAAATAGGTTCAGAGATTGGTTCATGAATTGGTTAATGAATAGGTGCAGGTATTAGTTCTGACAGTAGTTAAGGAATTGGTTCAGGTATTGGTTCAGACAGTGGTTCATGAATTGGTTCAGGTATTGGTTCAGACAGTGGTTCAGGAATTGGTTCAGGTATTGGTTCAGGCAGTGGTTCAAGGATTAGTTTAAGAAGCTAAGAAGATTCAATATTTCCCCAGTGCAGGGGATCAGTAATTTTCTTTCCTCGATGTACAATTTCTCTTAATCACATCACATTAGAAATATAAAACTCTAATGAAGAATATTCAGTAAAGAGGATATCTAGGAATTAAAGGGACTGGAGACATTATTTAAGTTGACGTGTCTGATTCACAACCGTGTATATATATGTACACTATGTAATCGTTTTCTCTAGAAAAAGGACTTGCCCATTTCTGTAACATCATGGAAGCATGCAGGAAATTTAAGAATTAAAAACTGTTAAACCTAGAAAAACAAGAAAATGTTCCACATTATTGGCTAGATATAGGTTTCAAGAGTACCGTTGTTTATCATCTTCATGTAGAGGGTTAATTGAAATTATGCTTACAGTCCCTTCAAGTGCTAATAGTAATACTCTCAGATATGGATGAATTGGCTGAATTAAAATCTGCGTATTGATCAAAACCATCTGCGTATGCGATCTTAAAAGTCATATAAGCAATTTTGCAATCAGTTCAAGCATGCAAACTGTTCAATTTTGCAATCAGTTCAAGTATGCAAACTGTTCAATTTTGCAATTAGTTCAAGTATGTTCAATTTTGCAATTAGTTCAAGTATGTTCAATTTTGCAATTAGTTCAAGCATGTTCAATTTTGCAATTAGTTCAAGCATGTTCAATTTTGCAATTAGTTCAAG